CCAATTTTCATTATTACTTTAAATCGAAAGATTTTACTCTCGTGTTGTTATCATAAATATGTATTTGATAAGAATCTTAGAAATGAGTTTTTATAATCATAAATTATATTATTTTTATGACATTCTAAATAAGTTTTTTACTATCGCATGCAAGTTTATTTAATTTGATGGATAATATATTCGTATTCAATCTCTTTGACATGTTTCGCTATTAAAATATAAAAAAATATAAAAGCCGAAATAAGTTTAGGACATGCAAACATTCGCTATAGGTATCTAGCTTCAAGCATAGATTAATAGAAACTTCTACATAACATCAACCACAGGTTAATAAAAACTTTAACATGTCATGTTAAGAAATGGTTTAAATATTGTTTACGGACCCCTAATACGTAAGATGTTTTTATGGCGCCAATGGTCAGCACATGAGACCCAACACGTGTTATCATTTATTAATTACGCATGGAGCGATTTTAATATAGATTATATACCAGCTATAACTACTGTCTAACCGAAATTTCGGGTTTCGATTCGACCAGTAGAAATAGAAATAATCTTTATTCAACGAAACTTAATATAAACACTATGGAATAGTCATATTTTGTTATTACTCAGCAGGAAAGCAGACTCATCACAAGAAGATCGAGCAAGAAACGTACTTACGTATTATATATACCAGCAGTAATACATTTATAAGATTTTGTGTGAATACAAACTGGCAAATAGGAAAATTGACAAAAGTTGACAACAATGAAGAAGTGGTGAAGAATTAAAATGTTTGTTTCAGTTTTTTGGTAATGTCTACCTGTGTATGTATATTTTTTATTGGATTATAGTGGGGCTAATGGTATCCGCTGGAGAGGTAACAATGAAGGATGATATGATAAGCTAAAAGTCACGGTAGTGTAACGGATTCACCAGAAGTAGACCAGATTTATTTCCAGAGACGACCGCTTTAAGGTCGATGTGACATGGTATATTACAATGGCGTACATGGTACGTGGCACACCCTATTCCTAATTATTAAGAATAACAAAATATTAGGTAGGTATCTACTGTCCTATATGAACAGCAAGGTGTATTCATGTTGCCAGCAGGTAAAACTAGGTACCTACTTAATGGTGTATATTTAAAATATCATTGAGATTGGAGATATAAAAGTGGGTCGAATGGTCAGGTTTTATGAATGTCGATTCTTACCTAAGTACAGTCGGCTTCAAAAATAACTATCCATCTAGATTATCTGACAGAATGGTCAATAATATTATTGTAATTGTATTTTTATACATATTTAATACTACCATATCAATAGCATACTAGTTTTTGCAAAAAAATAGATAATAGATAAATTACAATTTTTTTTATCAATATATAAAATTAAACTACTTAAGTGTACACAAAATTGTATTCTAAACAGTATTGACCATTTTTAAGGCTACAATTTATATGAACACGACTGTACCGTACGCCGCGCCGACTCGACACTTGTATTGTAACTATCATCCTTGTGTAGGTTCCATATGAAGACGTAAAAACGCGGGACAATGCGACGCCGAATTAATTATTTAATGTGTTGTTTTTATTGACATCTGTAGCCCAATAAAAATAAGTTTCTTTTATTATTAAATATACAAAGATTGACAGTTCTACAATTAAGTAGGTCAAAAGGAAACGAACTATATATAGGTACTTTAGGATTCTATTCTATGAAGAGAAGACTATAGTCGTCACCAAAATAATGTAGAATAATCACGGCACTAATGTTATGAGGCTGGATGCCCTAATATTTGAAATAGATAATCACAAATTTGTTTGTAATTGTATTTGTTTGTTATAAATCATATAAAATTATACTCTTATAAATCTAGACAACTTAACGGAATCCAATTTTCCTTAAGGTTAATTGAATACTTTCTTACTGGTGTACATATACTTGTATTAATATTTGTATTAGTCAGTCTTGCTTTAAGACCAGAATTACAAAAACATTATCTTGTAATAGGTGCATCATCAATACCATACAATACATATACCTAGAGTAGGAGATAAACAAATTAAAAATCATGTAAAAAACTAGTGGCGACTGAAGCGGCGCATAACATCATCACCCTTGCGTGTGCGCACAGATTCTAGCTCTCCGTGCCAATGTCGTCGCTAGCGATTTTCCCTTTTTTGTGTCACCCTTGAAGGTCATGTGCCTGATGGTATACGGCCTCGCGTGTTCCAACACTTTATATGAACAATAGATCGCTACTTATACCACAAGTCGCTACCAACAGAAATATTAAACGTTCGTTTAGATACATTTCTTTATTACGATGACTGCATTATTTCTTCTGCCACCAATGACACGATAGTTATTTTCATGTAATTACTAACTTCATTGTTTTTTCGACTCGATGACGTTATTGTCATGATTCAATAAATCATGAAGATAGATCGTTTCATTATTATGGATAAAGATGTTGGCTTTGACTTAGTTTTAGTATTAGTACTTGGAATTGAATTCCCTTAACCTTCGTGTGTGGTTTTACCAGCGAAAGGGTAACTGAATAATCCAATTCTTACATAACTGTCAGACAATAGTTATTTTAATTTTAGTGGCGCATTTTAATCTTTACGGTCTAATGAGAATATTTAGTATCATAGTGAAAAAGTGGGCAAGTAGCAAGGAAATAGAATTTGGAATCGCTTGACGAGTTTGAGTGGACACAATCAGGAAGCTATCCCGATGTTCGTTCATTACCAGCAGTCTCCTAACCTCTCATTACATTTACGCTCCATTATTAACCGTAATCGAGCTCTCATCACACACGGAGATGGAGGAAACAATAAACTGAACACTTATAATAAACTTCGTCCACGGTAGTTCGAAATTTGTAATGAAAATGTATATTACTCTCGTAATTAATCCAAAAGTGATGTGGATATCGCAAAACTTAAAGGATAAACATAAAATTGTGTGAGGGTTAGGATTTAAGTTGGCCCAATTTGAAATATGATTTGAAAACGAAATGACAAGTGTGGAAACTCTGAGAACTCCCCTAGTGTATTTATTTAGTTCCCCCACGCACGTCCCATGAATGCGTGCAACCCTTCATTACAACCTACGACTATTATGGCGCAATCAAGCACTCGGCACATACGCGAAACTGAGGAAACAATAAAATGAAATTGATGTATAAAACCACTCCTTGAACTAATTCCGAGCTGAGGCTTTAGGCCTCTTGTATAAAATACGTTTAGACCGTAATTTCCCAACGATTTGGTTTTGTTTTGAAATTGATTACTTACGATGTCACGTTTCGGTCGGGAGAGTGGTTTATTTCATGATGTGATTATGTTTTTATTTGTTTCACATCAAAAAGTTTTGTTTTATCGACATTGGATTATTATGTATGTTTTATAGGGTTCTAAGTCAGTATTTTAAATTTATTTATAAACAAAATTGCCTATAATTTTATATTAGGTATATTAAAATATACATAAAAATAATTACACGATTACTATAACTTAATTCTATGTTTGTGAATTAATTAGAAACCCTTTGTTTATAGTCGATAGAAATATTGTTTTCGTTTCATTCTTTGGGATATAAATTAGGTAGGTATATACAAAACGCCGCATTGTTGTCCTATTCTAACACAATTTACTAGATATTTTATGAAACATAAAACTATTTGATCTACATAAATTATAGTTTACACATGCATTTAATGTATCTAAGTTTCTTTAAATTAGTCCGTCAGAAGCTGAGTCGTTTCCTCTATAAATACGTCCACAAATCGAAAAGGGCTCATAAAACAAGATGACTGCTGGAATAGCTTCCTCTTTCATGCGCGGAGATCCGCAAGCAATAATTATTGAGGTGTAAAATTTACACTGACATGCGTTTATTGAGACGATACACTGGTAAGATGAAACGGGGTGCCATCGCAGTCATTTATAATTATATTTTATGGGGAATGTTTGCGACATGCTATGTTAATGGACTACGTTAAAACCTTTCACGCGATGGAAGAGATAATGCACCCGACGCATGAATAGGTGATCTTAATTTATCTGAGAGAGGTTCCGGTTAACAGTGCGTATCGGTCGCTAATCGAATCACATGCATGCGATTTATGGAATCGATAAGACTAAAACGATGACTATCTAACGGATCCTTTAATGACTCGCCGCGAGTCAGCCCGAGTGTAATAACCAACAATAATTTTGTAATCGGTATACCTACCGATGTACGTCATGATAAACGTACGATTGTAATTAGAATACATTAAATAGAAATCAATGAAAATGGTAGGTCAAGTAATCTAATATTAATCAATACAGTAGTAGCACTTCGCAATTTTTAACTTAAGTAGGTACAATATCTCTATCTTAAATATTAATATTATGAAGCAAAATAAATCTGGGTCTTACATTTGACAATGAGTAAACGAGGTCAGTTTTTTGTTGATAATTATTTATTTATTTACCTAGTAATTATTTATTGATGCACGACGACATTGATATCGACCTTTATATTTTTTTAAATAAAAACATCGTAAACAATTTAGATATGTAGGTAAACAATCAAAGAAGATCTACGTAGCGTGACAACGTACCTATACATGTACCTAATCATTTCAATTGTATAAAACATGTTCAAGTAACACAGATTAATCAATAGGGAACCGTGACTTCCTTATGACGTCAGAACATATTCAATGAGTTGCTTCATATTTTCTATTAATTGATATGTTAGGTGGACACGACTATGACACATCAATGATCCATAATTAATTCATTGAACATATTGTTTAATTTCTTGTCATTTCCTTCATTTATACGGAACATTATTCATATTTAATTGTCTCCTTAATTATCAAAGGAACTTAAAATATCCGTGTATTGTTTTGAAACTTAGAATCCCTAACTTGATTTTTATGTGCAAATTATTATATTATAGGTAGATTTGCTTTTCGGAGATAAAGTAAATAGAAAGTAAAAGTACTCACTGTGTGGTGGTGTTAGAGACAGAGCGGACACGGCGGCTGGTGGCACCGGTGGGAACATATCCTGATGTGGTGGAAACATCCGCGGTGGCGGCGGTAAATCCGCTTCCTGTTCATCACTCTGCTCTTGTTTCGGTGGCGACCTGGGCCTCGCCAAGCGCACCGCCTTCAGTCCACCGCTGGGGGATCGGCGCATCGACAAATTCTCCGGCGTATCTGACTCTCCCGAACGGCGTCGTGGACGGGCCTGCTTGCGTCGTGGCTGCGGGCTCGCGGGGCTCACTGGTGGGGACGGCGCCGGCGGCGTCGCCTGGATCGGGCTCCTCGCCAGCGGAGTGGGAGGAGGAGAACGAGCCTGCTCCTCACGATCCTGATCAGCCAGCCCTCGCACCTGTAGCGACTCTCCCGCTCGAATAACAGTTCCCAGCTGTTCTTGAGCCACAGAAACTTCTCCACGGTACATAAAGTCCACTACCGCCTGCACTTCCCATCCTTGGAAGTCTTTCAACACGATCACAGGATGCTTGCACGGATTCTCGCTGAATATCCGCCGAAATAGTGGACTGCACGCGCCCAGGAGGACCTTGTGGGCTCGGACGCGGCGCTCGGCGCACACCAGGGTGACGTCGACCAGCGTCTCGGCATGCAGCAGTGCCTCGAAGGAGCGCAGCAGATGTGCTTGGTGGTTGTTCCAGCGCAGGCTGTAGTGCTCCTCGCCGCCGACGGCGGTGGGCTTGTCGTCCATCGCGCGCGCCGGTGTCAACGCGTGTGTCGGAGCCGCGGCGCGGCCTGCCGGCGGGCGCGTGCGCGGCCTTGCGCCGCCCTCCGCCCGCAACGCACCCCGCACTCCAACCCTTTCGTCGCTCAAAGAGTCGCCTTCCCGCCGGACCGCAATCTTCGTATCGCACAACTCCACAATTTTTTCCCGATGACCGTTCGCGTCCAACGGCAAAGTGTCACAGTCGAGTACAAGTTTTAGAAGCACTGCACAACACTATGTCGGTACGACACGTCGAGGGTGGCGGGAGCGCGCGGACGACACGTACGTGTACCGCGGGCGGCTCGCGAGCACGGAATGAGATGAGGAGACGGGCGCGCGGTACAGCGGTGTCGCGCGAATGCCGAATATCGGGTCGGCAGTCGGCGTGCGGCCGGCGGGCAGTGGCCGCCGCGCCGGTGTGGGGCCCGCCCCCGGCCCCGCCCCGGCCGCACACACACGCGCCGCGCGCCCGCCGCGCCCCGCGCCGCCCGCACACACACCCGCGACACACATGTGTCACGTCACACAAATACCTACACACATGTGACGCCTCCTACGCATTATATATTTTTTGGATACCTACAAGTTGCTGTGACCTGCGAAGTTGACGCCGCTCTTGTTTGTAAATAAACAATGAGGGTGGCACACAAAATTTTCAAAGACAAGATTACCTACTTATGTTAACTAATATTGGATTAAATAATTTACGGATAAACAAGTCGTTAAAGATACAGGTTACATCTCGTTTAATACCGACAATCCGTGGCCTATATTTTATTCCCTTAGAATAAACAATGGTCTCAGTTGTAGACAAGCTACGTAGCACCTACCTATACAAATAAGTAAAGCAATCTAAACTATGCTGAATAGATACATGTATTTAGTATAGATACCTACTGTATTAGATTTATTTAGATTATATATTGAAATATTTTGTAATTTTATTCATATAAATTAGTTTAGTTCTATGATATTTATAGATAGTAAGTAGAGTTGGTAAAATAGTACCTACATTTATAACCCAGTAGATACAAATATACCTAAGTGCTTCGTGTATACTATATTAAGAGCCAATCATATAGGTAGATCTAATCTGATGATTTGTTACTCATTATATAAAAATTGTTTCAGCATTCCAGTGATTTTGTGAAAACAATTAATTACACTATGAATTATTTTGAAGTATTGACTAGGTAATTTCTTTTCATTTAATTTTAGATATAAAGTTAGTAGGTATCTATTGCATAACATGTCATAGGTTGGTTTGTTAACATAACATGTCAGAAATATAAATTGACACAAACAATGCTTTTTTGGTGTCAATTTATATTTCTGACTAACTCTCCGGTGATGTGAACACCATTACCAAGTCGGATACAAATACACATTTCAGCGAAATGACTGACAGTCAAGTGAATAGGTGAATTCTAGGCTTCATTCATACCCTAACTTTGGTATATTAATATTTTCTGTTTTACAGAAACTATATACAATACGGTGATGTAACTCTCAATGAAAATGGAGGAAGGGAATAGTCAGTGCTGAAGTCTTTTGCCGTCATTCCTAGCAATGATCTTTGTATTTGTGTCCTAGAACATAAAGAGACACTTCGTCCAGCTTGAAGGCGAGAGGAGATGGTTTATAGACTCCCTATTCGTATCTAACTATAGTATTTAGTCTACTTTTTAGTGCACCCATTGATAATAATGTAGACCTGTCAGGTCGACCTCCACGCGATATCCACCCTGAAACAATCGTGGTAAATTTTTTGTGAATTCACCACGACGTCAAAACTGACCTATTTCCATACCAATTGTATATTCTTAAATAGTTAAGAAAAAATAAACTATTAACAAAATATGGGGGTGTGTGAAACGTTAAAAAAAACGACTTCTCAGAATGTATAAGATACACACGATTTATTCTAAGAACATCTTGTTTTGTCACAGAAAATCACACGACGCCAGTAAATGAGCAGGTAATAATCAGGGTGTAGGGTACAGTAGGGTGTAGGGTACGATTGTTTCTAGCTTTACCTGTGTCGAGTCATACAAGGTAGGTACATTGTTATATCTTTAGGGCGTATGAAGTGGAGTGTGGAGTCAAAACATTAGTATAAAGGTCATTCTATTCTCCCAAATTTGAATTTAAATGAATCTGTATTATCGTAAACATGTACAACATTTATTTCAAAACAATACGAGCTTCTTGTCAGTTCTTCTCATCTCGAAATCATTCCGAATAATGGTAGATTTGATATATCATAAGAGTCTGTAATAGACCTACATGAATATAGATGTATGATTTTGATTTGAATTTGAATAATAATACTAGCTGACTCGCGTAACTTCATCTGCATCACATACATGACATTTATCATGATATTCGCCCAATTTACATAATATCTTTTAAAATTTTAGCCTAGTTATATATGTTATTCTGATGTATAAGCTATATAACTGTAAAGTTTCATCACAAACGGTTCAGTAGTGTTTGCGTGAAAGAGTACCAAACATCCATCCATACACACAAACTGTCGCGTTTATAATATTATTAAGATTGAGATACGACGATCACGACTGTATTCTCTAATGGGGTAGACACAGATATTGTTAAATGTCGGCGTCGTGGTATTTTAAATGTATAATGTGTTTTACATACTATCTAATTAATATAACTCTACAAAGTTATATTAAAACCTAATAATAATATACCTGAATAATTTACATAGCGCTATAGTCACAAGGTAAGCAGTGCTTGTGTTATGGGCAGGTACTAGACAACTGATACATAGATATACTTTTTTTTGTAAATACATGTATAATATAGTTAGATAACACCTAACCTATATATATATATATATATATATATACAAATAATCATAATTATTAATACAAAAGTTTGTAGCATGCGAGGAATCGAACCCGCGACCATCGGAAGTGAGGTGAGCTAAATAGATATACCACCGAGGCCGTGGTGTTTATAACAGCCTTAGGATGTACTACTGCGACGTGCCACATGGAGTGTAGAGTCAAAACATTAATGAAATAATATCCTCACGATTGTTAGTATCTGTATGTAATATCCTCATGATGTAGTAGAGAGAGAGAGAGAGATGTTGTTATTATCGAGGTCGTGGTATTTTTTAAATGTAACTGTAATGGCAGACAATTTGTCTGCTGAGCTGATGATAAGTGGTAATCGAATACTGATCAGCTTCAACCCATTTGAGAGTATCTACAATTCTGAGTATCAAGGAAGGATCAAAGGAGTATCAAAGGAGACTTCTATACCTATACTGTAATTTCGCTGCCATACTCATATCTCAACTTATATAGGTATGAATTAGATTACGAACTGATGCGAGCTGCTTGACCGTATGTCAAATAGGTGAGATGGAGACATAAAACTGTACAAAATGTGTAACTAAACATTATTTTTAACTATACATATAAATAAAATTGTAGTGTCTGTTTGTAATATTGAAATAACCGTTTTTTACTACATACATATGAATAAATAATAAATACGGTACATACACCAAAATATCATTTTTTTTACAAATTTTTGTCTGTCTGACTGTATGTTCCGGCAAATTTCTGAAATGGCTGGACCGATTTAGAAGGGACTTTTTTTGACAGGTAGCTCATGTAATAAGAAGTAACTTAGGCTATTTTTATTATAGAAAAATAAAGTTAAATTCCACGCGGACGAAGGCTCTGGTACAACTAGTTTTAAACATATAATTATAAACGTACCATATTGCTACATTACTAACTCTATTAATCCCCTTAGGATTGTAAGTAATGGCAATGAACCATGTCAGGTTGACCTCCACGCAGATCCTCTAGGAAACAATCGTGGTAAATTGCCAATTGCCAAAATAGGCTAATTGACCTGACTTCATAGTCATTTTATCATCTTCCACTGCTACTTCGCCAGCGTAAACGGTTAGCGTAGGCGGGTGCATTTTACCATTATCATCTACAAAAAAACCTTATTAATAAAAATAAAACAGTATTACATTATTATATTATCGCTTTAAATTGTGAATACAAACAATCATACTAATGTATACAGATATTTATACCGTGCGAGGAATCCAACCCGCGACCATCGGTAGTAAAGCGTGCTTAACCACAAAACCACTGAGGCCATCAAATATTACTAATTATATTGTCATACATTATAATTCTCGGCAATTACGCTAGCGTGTGTGAAGTAGGAAACAATGCGTTCTCGTTAGTAGGAATGTAGTAATTTATACGTGAATTTCTACTAATTCCTGGTAAAGTTTAATTCATATTAATATGCAGCTAATAAGGGGATCGCGTGGAATTTGTTACACAATCAAATCGGCATTTAGCTGCTACATAAGTGGGCCATTATGTGAGGCAGTTTGTTTGTGAAGGGGCGCGTCTTTTCTAAGTACTATTATTGTATTAGCACCGTATTTTCTTACTTGATTAATACTTAATTTGAGAGCGTCGTGACCTAATGTTTTATTACCCGACCTTTTATTCTGTTATGCGTTTGCTTTCTATAGACTTAAGTCTATGCCCTTTTTTGCATTTTGTTTTAATTTTTAACTACCTGACCTTAGACGTGAGTTCACATCTAGCAGACACAAATAATATTTTGTGTAAATTTTTCTAACTAACTCTCCTATTATGGAAACATCGATAACAATCAAAGTTAATATGAGTTATACCTTATTCGTAGTCTTATTATCTGCTTTACAATGAAAATATATTATTGCTGGCAATGTAATGTAATACAGGATTAGAATTATCTAATCTAATGTAATACACATCAATATTAAGGCGATTCAGTTCATAATTTTTTATACCAGAATCTATTTTATATGATTACGAAAATTCTTTTAATGTTAGATAAACAATAAAATAGTTTTAGTTTAAATATAAACACTAAAATAATTCTCAAAATCAGTTCAGTACCTTTCAAGGTACTGAACCGATTTTGAGATCATT